GGCTGCTGACACAGGCCTGATAATGAGTTGGGGGCCAGCATCCATGCCTCTGTCCCCAGTGGGACTCCCTCGCCCTGGCTGGCACAGGGGGATGAGGCAGGAGCTGCCTTGGCATTTTCCGTAGGGGATCTCGGCCCAGAAGTATGGTGGCAGGTGTAGGCTCAGGAAGCAGCTGCTACCGCCCTGCCAGCTGCCCGCCGGGGGCCTGCCCACCAGATGCATAATAGATGAGGAGGCCCAGCAGGCTGTACCCGCTTGGCATTTCAGAGCCACTAATGAGGCCAGCCTAGTGTTTCCTGCAGAAGCACATGGGCCCCCAGGGTCTCCAGCTCAGTGATTGCAGAGAGGAGCCGCCTGAGGACAGGGGCTGCCTGCCCAGGCCCACCACTTGGCACAAGCAGCATCTAGAATAGCAGGGGCTAAAGACATGGGCAAAGGCATCAGGCCGACCTCACTGCCAGTCCTGGCTCACCACTCACTGACTACGTGCCCTTCCCCTCCCTGAGCCTCAGTTTCCTTATCTGTAAGATGGGGATGGATGGTAACAGTCTCCACCTTGTAAGCCTGGTGTGAGGATGGAATGAGATAATCCAGGATCTGGGATGGAGAAAGCGCTCTGTAGCTGGGAGTAACTGGCAGCCTTATTGCCAAGAGGAGATGTCTCAACGACCAGACATGCTCTCCCAGCAGCACACATGGGGCTGGGCAGTGACCCCCACTTGGGGGGCTATTCAGGTTCATCTCACTCTCCCTCTTCACCCTCACCCCATAACCCAGACTTCCCTCATTTCAGTGGCGTCCCCATCTCTAACCAAGGCCCCTTCCATGGCAAGAAAAACAGTTGGATTCAAATCCAGCCCTTGCCAGTGGTATGACATTCGGCTTGGAGCCTTCACCTCTCTCAGCCTTGGTTTTGGCCTCTGTAAAATGGGGGCACTAGGGTCAACTTAGAATCCCTGGGTGGTACAAACGGTTAATGCACTTGGCTGCTACCAAAAGGTTGGAGGTTTGAGTCCACCCAGAAGTACCTCAGAAGAAAGGCCTGGCTAGCTACTTCTGAAAAATCAGCCATTGAAAACAGAGCAGTTCTACTCTGAGGGGTTGCCATGAGTCAGAATCAACTTGACAGCAACTGGTTTTTTCAGGGTCGAGTGTTGTCATGATTTGATGAGACCACATTGTAAAATGCCCAGCCCAACTGGCACTCAACACTTACTGGGTCCTGCCTCCTCCCGGGTTCCCAGCTTTAAGGTCAAAGTTAACTCTCTTCTTCCCCTGGGTATTTTCAGATGCCCCCCTAAGTCCAGCCAGCCATTTCCCTACCCTTCCACCTCCTCCTCCCCCACTACAGTCCACCTTAAATGTCCAGCCCTTACCCCAGGACTCTGGGTCCCTTAGGGCTGCAGAACCAGAGTTATCCACTGTCCCACAGGCCCCAAACCCTCCTGCTGGGCCTCACGTCCTCTTACATTTGCATGCTTGCTCTGATCCCCTCCACTGCAACCTGTTGATGGGGACAGGATAGGAGAATCCAGCCATGATCATGTCTGGCCTCTACCAGGCCTCACTGCTCCCCTGATCCAAGCCTTAATCTTTTAATCCTTTAAAAAAAGAATAAGGGGGAAAATCTTGCCTCCTCCAGGAAGCCTTCTCAGCCTACTTCCACTCATTCCACTCTCTGAACATATCCAATTCAATTCTACAAATATTCATTAAGCATCTACTAGATATGGGTAGCTATGCAAGACCATATGGGAGACAGAGAGATGAGAAGAGTAAGCCCTCACTTTTTTACAACTTTACTGACTATTAAAAGGAGCCCTGGTGGTGCAGTGATTAAAGTGCTCGGCTGCTAACCAAAAGGTCAGCAGTTAGAACCCACTAGCTGCTCTGTGGGAGAAAGATGTGGCAGTCTGCTTCTGTAAAGATTTATAGCCTTGGAAACCCTATGGGACTCTATTAAATAGATATTTTGATCTCCATTTTACAGATGAGAAAACTGACGTTCATGGGTCTTGTGTTGGGAAATAAATCCAGCACTAAAGTAATTCAAGCAACCCCTGCTTTCAAGGAGGTCAGTACCTGCCTCCTGCTACAGTGTTATGTGGACACGTCCAACTCACTGAAATATACAATATGACAAGTATCTATGGAGATCAACCGGGTCTCAGAGAGGGCAGTGATATGCCCAAGGTCAGATTCAAATCCACGCTTGTCAGACTCAAAGTCCATGCTCTTTGCATTAGCCCAGGAATGAGTGCCAATGTGTGCTCTGCAGGCACAATAAGCAGATGAGGCTCTCCAAGGAGAGAGGGATGGGACATGGGGACTGGGAACGGAAACACTCAACAAGTGCTGATCCAGGTCAGCTGGAGGTGTGGGGAGGGCTTGTGGGGGTGGGAGGTGAGGGCACATCAAGGCAAGGGGACAGTGTGAGCAAAAGCATAGAGGGGCAGCTGAAGGCAGCCATATTCCTGTTGAACGGAAGTACAGAGCTCAGGGGAGGCTGGACAGGGAGGTGAGGACAGGCCTTGAATGCCAGGAAATCACAATTAATAGTAAAAATGACCACCACTTACAAAGCACTAAGTATATGCCAAGGAGCCCTGGTGGCACAGTAGTGAAGTGCTCAGCTTCTAACCGAAAGGTCGATGGTTTGAACCCATCTGCAGGTCCACGGGAGAAAAGACTTGGCGATCTGCTCCTGTAAAGATTACAGCCTAGGAAACCGTATGGAGAAGTTCTACTCTGTCCTATAAGGTCACTATGAGTTCACATTGACTAGTCAGCACACAACAACAACTATATGCCACCCTCAGGCTGGCGCTGAACAAACTGGCTACCCACAGTTGGGAAGGGAGGGCCCAGGGGTTAGCACCTTGGACAGGAGCTCCAGCTAGGAGGATGTATGGCGAGGCCTTGTGGCTAATCGGCATGTCCTGGGGATTCCAGACCCCTAATTTATAGATGGAAACCCTGGTGGCATAGTGGTTAAGAACTACGGCTGCTAACCAAAACGTCAGCAGGTCAAATCCACCAGCTGCTCCTTGGAAACTCTATGGGGCAGTTCTACTCTGTCCTATAGGGTCGCTATGAGTCGGAATCGACTCGACAGCAGCAGGTTTGGCTTTGGTTTAACTTATAGATATGTCAACTAAGGCTCAGAGAGGGAAAGGAATTTGCCCAAAGTCACACAACTGGTCAGTTACTATCAATCCTGGGCCTTCGTCTCTGACTCTTGGTACAGGGCTCCCAAGAGTGGGCCTTCGGATCACCCCTCTGCCTACAAGTCTTCCCTCAAGTGAATCCTAGCTCAGACTCTCCCTGTGGATGAGGCTCTGGGCTCTGCACAGTCTGGAAGACCACAGTCCAAATCCCAGCTAAGCCACTGACTAGCTGTGTGACCTTGGGCAAGTCACTTCACCTCTCTGTGCCTCATTGTTCTTGTGTATAACTAGACATAATAGTCCCTAACTTAGGGATGTGGTAAAGGTTATGTGAGATGATGCATGTCAAGCATCTAAACCAGTGCCTACTATACCTGGTGCATAGTAGGTGCTTGGCTAGTGGTAGTTATTTTTGATATTATTATTGTAGTCCTTGAAAGAAGGACTATGGCTTCCTTGCCTGTCTCTACCTCCCCTTACCTTACGCCACTCTGGGCATAGCACACTGATCTGCACATAGTATAGGCTCAGAAGGAATGCCTACAGATTGACTGGACACAGGCCAGGAGATAAGGCCCAGAGAGGGAGAGTAACTGGCCCCAGGCTACAAAGCGAGCATCGAAGGAAAATTAAAAGGCAGGCCCTGGAGCTCAGCCTGTCCCCCAACCCCCCGCCGCCATGCCTCCCACCCTAGGTGCAGCTTCCCAGGAGGGCTCTGGTGGCAGGTAGGGCAATGGTGCCAGAAAGGATGGTCCATCAGCCGGAGGCCCTTGCAGGGCCTGGGGACCCCAGGAAACCCTCAGCAGGGTCAGGAAGCAGGAGCCAGAGATGTTGGGGGCTCGCCTGCTGGAGATGAAGCAGCAGCAGGAGCAGCCAGCTGGGGCCCGTGTGACGCTGGTGCCAGGGAAGCCAGGAGGTGCCCGCCTGCAGGGGCATCGCGGGTGCCGCAAATCCCGAGGTGAGACTATACCTCCGCCTACCACCTCTCAGTGTTGGGGAAGCTGCAGATGCGTTCCCTCTTCCCCTCCTCCTCCAAAGCAGAGGGCAGCCTCAGATACAGGGAACGGGAGGAGGTGCTGGTGAGGGGCTTCTGAGGGCCGGGTATAGGTGGGACTACCGGGGTACGGGTCTATGGAAAGGCACCCCCTGCCCAGGCAGGAGCCACAGGAGATGTGAAGGAATGGAGAAGAGAAAAAGGAAGGAAACACATGTGGTGAGAGCCTACAATATGCCAGGTCCTGGGTTTTGTTGTGTTGTGTTGTGTTTTACAACTTTCAAACCAGTGACCAGCTGCTGTCAAGTTGATTTTGACTCATGCTGACCCCATATGTGTCAGAGTAGAACTGTGCTCCATAGGGTTTTCAATGGCTGTTTTTTGAAAGGTCACCAGGCATTTCTTCCAAGGCACCTCTGGATGGACTCAAACTACCAACCTTTCAGTTAACAGCCAAGCGCTTAACAGTTTGCACCACCCAGGGACTCCTTTACAACTTTATACTCGACCAACTAGGTATTTTAACTCCCATTTTACAGATGAGAAAACTGAGGCTCAGAGAGGTTAGCTGAATTACTGAAGGTCACACGGGAAGTGGCAGAGCTGAGATTTGAAACTGATTTGCCTAACTCCAAGGCTGAACTCTAGAAAGAACTGTGGGAAAATATGTTTGGGGACAGAAGTGGTAAGAGGATCTTGCCCACCCCATGGCCTGGAGAGGGTGGTCAGAGAGTTGATGGGGTGTGGCCTGGCACTGTAGAGGATGAAAATGCATTGGGCGTGTTCCCAAGGGGTCAGTCAAGCCAACCTAGCCCCTCCTGAGAGGCCCCAGTACTCACCACACACTCCGGCGAGGGGCAAAGGACTTGTCCACCCTGAAACACAGCAAGAGGAGCAGCAGGTGAGGGCCAACCCCTTCTCACACCCTCAAAGTCCCCCTTTGCTCAGTACATCAGGCCAACCCCCACCCTGCCCCTGTTCTCCCAGAGGGACCTGGAGCAGGTCCTGTTTCTAAGGATGCCTGACGCACTGTCACCATCTCCTTACTCTACTGGGGGTCCTCACCCCAGCTGGGGAGCCCCAAGAGCAGGCAGAATTACTGGGGGGAAAGACAGGAAATTAGGGATATGGGAAAGTGCGGGGCTTAAGGAGTAAGGAAAAGAGGCAGGATTAGGGGCGTGGGGGTAAAGGAGCAGGGGCCAAGGACGGGGCTGTGGGGTGTTGGTAGGGGTGGGAATCCAGCATGGGGGTGCGGGTCTTGGGACAGGTGGGTGAGACAGCGACTGCAGCAGTGCGGGATAAGAGCAGGGATGCAGGGGTGCAGCTGAAACCAGTTTAGAGTGTTTCCAGACAAGAGTGAGGGCTGTGCTGGGTGTTTACAGTGTAAGCAAGAGGAAGCCTCCCAACCCCCAGCCCCAGCAGCCTGCCTCCATCCTATCCACCCAGGAGACAAATGTAGCAGATCTGAGAGGGGTTGGCTCTCCTACCTCCACACCCAACACACACGCGCATACCCTGTTCCCCAAAGCAGAGCCTGAGGAAGATCTCAAGCCCCCAGAATTCGGGGGGCACCCCTAGACTTTGTCTCCCCCAAATCCCAGATCCAGCTTCAGGCAGAGTGTATGGACAGTGCCCCCTCCCAGATTCTCGGCCCCATTGCCCTTTGAGGGCACCTTGGGGTGGGAGAGGCTGGGGAGGGCTGGAGTGGCCTCACCTTCCTGCCCAGCTAGGGGCTGAGGGGCTCCAGCAGTTGTCGGGACAACAAACAACTCTTGCCTCCTGTCCAGAGGCCAGGGGGAAGGAGGAAGGTGACAAAAACCAGACTCCACCAGCAAGGGGTGTCTTCTGGGGAGGAAGGGCTGGGGGCCCCGGGGCCACCTAATGTGGAAGGTTGACTCTGCAGACAAGGGATGTGAAGCCAGAGAGGCTAGGACTTGCCCAAGGTCACAAAACAAAACCCAGCCCCACCGCCCGGGCTGCCCCTCAGAGTCAGCTGACCAGAAAACTCTGGGCCCAGCTCAGGCTCTCCTTGTCACCTGACAACTGGCAAGGCCCCCAGAAAGGGGGGCAGCCCTCTCACCTCCCACCCCAGCCCTCGGCCAGAGTCCCCTCAGAGGAGAAGGCCTCTTGGACACAAGCCTCATAGCTCAACAAGCACCTATTATATGCCAGCTGTTTCACATGCATGAGCCCCAACTGCCTCCACACCCCAAAGGTGGGTCCTATGAGTCCCTCTGACCAGGGGAGCCTGTGCCCCCGGAGGCAGGAGCCTGGCGAAGGGCACACAGCTGCTGTATAAAGGGGGCTCTGGAACCTACCCCAGCTTTTTTCCACTTTGCCAAATCTTGGCCTAGGAAAGGAATCCCCCCAACCCTCCTCTGCACCCGTCTGAGGCAGGCACTTGGAACCAGGAGGAACAGCGACCCCAAAATGGACCAGCCACAACCAGGGTGACCAGCAGCCCTAGGACAAAGGGGCAGCACAGGGCCTCCCTTGACCTCTCCAAGCACCACAAGCCTATACATGCAGCCAGGCATGGATGCGCATGTGCACGCACAGGCACACGCATACACACACACACACACACACACACACACACACACAGCCTCACCTGTCGGTCCACACACCAATCACCTACATCAGTACTATCACAGTCCCACTTAG